CCAATCCTTTCCGTTCATGCGGCTCCTGCTGATTTGACTTGCCTTTACCACCAGCTTCTAGGATGAGCTTCCCCAGCTTTTGTGGATCTTTGGGATCATATCCAGCTTTGAATAGAAGTTTATATGCATTAGGGTCGAAGCCGCCAGTGTGCTTAGCGGGCACTGTTTGACTTGCCCCAACTTGAGCTTCATCTTCAAGCGGTTTAACTGGAGCTGCTGCTTTTAATGTTTCAATCCTTGTGAGTGGGAAAACAAGTTCCTTGTCGCGATGAGCTTGGTCTACAACTTGCTTGCCTTTCCACTTTGGATCAAGAGGTGTGTCAACATTGCTTTGCTCAGCCTCCTCTACAACTTGTTTCTTCAAGTAAAACTTTGCATCTGCAAAGTATGATTCTGCTTCAATGAAGGGAGTTTGATCAGCGACTACCTTTTCTATCACCCCGCCTTTTTCAAACATGAGGCATTGGTGCCAGGATGAGGGAACTACTCTATTCTCATGTATCCAAGGCCGGCCCAGCAGCAAGTTGTACGACGTCCTTGCATCTATCACATAACATAGTGTACTTGAGTTTAGTGTTCCGATCCTGAGGTCGAGTCTGATGGTACCCAGTGCTCTTTGTCCGCCTTGATTAAATCCTTGGATCATTAAGCGGCTTTGAGAGAGCTCATCGGTGGAGATGCCAAGTTCTTTCATAGCTCGGAGTGACAGAATGTTCACAGCCGACCCTTGATCAATCAAAATCCTTTTAATCTTTTGCTCACGAGCATAACCTTCAACAAACAACGGACGATTATGTGGTGTACCACCAAGCAATAGATCCTCATCCTTAAAAGTTATCTCGGCGGTATAAGACGCGACTTTGTGGACTTGAACCTCGTCACCTCCCTCAATCACGGGGAATGAACATTCCTCCTCTTCAACATGTCTCTCTTTAATACTCAAGCGAGTTCCAGGAATATTTGTCCCATGCGGAGGAAGCGTCTTCGGCATGTATTGAACCAGGGCAACTGGTGTTCGAGACGTGCCGGGACGTCCTCTCATCTTTGTGCCATAGGCGAGGTCTCTTGCTGGCTTTCTCTCAACCCATTGCTTCGTTATTCTCTTCAAAGATCTAACATGTTCAGCATTGTTCCTTTGCTTTTTGCGGGTAACAATTACCCAATCCTTCTCGCATACCGGATTGACCTGTGGTAATTCCGGCTGTTGCCTAGTAGCATGTTTCACAATAAATGGAAGCGAGCGTTTGTATTGCTTGCCCCCATCCTCTTCATCACTCTCCTCAACTAACGGAGCGAATCTTCCGCATGAAATTTGATTGGTGCTGGCAGTTGCATCGGCCAGCTCAATCTTTCCATCACGAGCAAGTCTCATCACCTTATCTTTAAAGACGAAACATTTTTCAATCGAGTGTCCGAGGAGACGATGATACTTGCAATAGTTGGGGTCGTCTACCTTAGAAGCTTCTTCGGGACGCTTCATCTCCGGTAATTCAATCAACTTAAGCTTTAACAATTCATCAAACATGGGTGACACATCGGAGTCCAAGAACGGATACTGTTTTTGCTGCATCTCTTCAATGATTCTAGTACCCCGAGATGGGCGGGAAAATGACCTTAGCCTGGGATTTTCAGTTACTTTGGCAAAAACCCGCATTGGTGCTGTTTTTACGTTCATGGCCTCTTTCTTTTCTGGTTTCGGGAAGGGCTTTCCCCCTTTCTTGAATTCTTGTTTTACAGGTGCCTTGGATGAGTTAGGGATACTTGACATGCCGAGCCCTCCATTGGCTTCAATACTCAATTCCATGTCGTGAGCACGACTGGATAGTTCTTCAAATGTTCTAGGCTTGATTCCCTGCAAGATATAAGAGAGCTCGAAGTGCATCCCTTGTATGCACATTTCAATTGCGGAGCTTTGTGATATCCTCTCTTTACAGTTAAGGCACAACTCCCTCCATCTCTCGATGTAAGTGCCCGCACGCTCACCCTTCCATTGGTGGGTAGTGGTGAGTTCCAAGAAGCTGACAGTCCTCCTGGTGCTGTAGAAGCGGGTCAAAAACTCGCGCTCCATATCATTCCAGCTATCAACGCAACCATGATGTACTCATTCAACTGCTCAACGGGTATCATGCCCTCAGAAATCGGGATACTCTTCTCGGCGGGTGGTGGACGGGAGATTGTCTCTTCCATTCCTGGCCTACTTTGATGGCGCGGGGACTCGACATCAATCTCATCTCCTTGGGTTTGAGGTTGCTTCCCGGAAGCCCGACTTGTTTCGCTGTTCCTTCCGCTTTCAACCTTTTCGCTGAGCTCATTGATCCGCCTTTCTTGGTTATGCATGAGTGCAACTATCCCCTCGAGAGATTTAGTGATGTTTGCGAGTTGTTCCTCCACCGAAGCCGCGTTCGTTGTCATAGCGGGCATGATTGTGTATATGTGATTCCATTCCGGTGAGGTTCTCTGCAGAAGTGATGACTGTGATGAACTTCCACTGTTTGGAGTTTTATTCAAGGGAATAGGGCTCGCAGGACTCTTGTTACTTGGAGCTCCCTCACTTGTAGGATTCTGGTCAGCAACAGTTTCCTTTGTAGAGGATGATCCTTTGTCATGTGCAGCTCTCCGTGACATAGTGGAGTTTCTGTCAATCCTTCGGACGATGTGGCGAGCAATGTCCTGGGCCTCGTGGAGTTGCACCCCTAGGTTCCTCACTCGGCTTCGAGTCATTGCTCCTCCCACGCCTTGGCTATCACCGGAACCGGCCGCAGATGATGCCCTGGAGCGGGTAGCCTGAGCATATGCCATCTTGGAGGAGGGATTTCTTGATGCCATTTAGATTCCTTCCTTGTAGAGCTCGCGAATCAACAGTGAAGAGATGAGAGGCAGAGTTGTCCCACTGGGCGTGCCAAAATCTGTAAACACAAAAAAATAAACTTTGTATATATATTCACAAAATTCCGTGTACAGTGTGTGTATAATTCAATGCAGGTACAAAATCTCTGTCTAGTCCTCTGATTCTTCACTAACGTTATCTATGGAAGTGCCTCCGGGATTCAAATAGCGTAGCCTCCGGGATTCAAGTGGCGTAGCTTCCGGGATTTAAGTGGCGTAACTTCCAACAACGAGCGTCAAGAATTTAGAAACCCTGCAAAGTTTCAAAACACATGCAATGGATTCAAGCTGCTTTAAGATCCTCAAATGCCTTCAAAAGACTTCAATATCTTCGAGACAATCAATTCTGCAAGGCTCCAAAGTACCTGCAATGGATTCAAATTGCCTGCAAAATCAAGAAAAATGCCTTCAACTTCAAGCGTTCTTCAATGTCTTCAGGCTCTTCAAATGCTCTCAACTCCTTAAGTCTTCAAGTTCTTCAAGCTTTCAAGTGTCTTTTAGAATGAAATGAAGGCTCTATTTATACTAGAAGCCTAACCAACATTCCTCAACAAACTTCCCCTTTAATTAATTAATTAATTAATTAAATATTCTAGAAAATGAACCTTGCCCAGAATTAAGTCTAGGTTCATTATTGTATAATTGAATTCAAATTCAAATTAAATTATAATTATCTAATTCAAATATAATAAAATTAATATTATATTTAAATTATAATTATAATTTAAAATTCAAATTCAAATATGCAATGGGCTTGGACCAGTTAATTAATTAATTCCATGGCCCAAATCAAACTTAATTGGACTAATTAAATTAAATTAATTTATGTGATCCGATTAATTAAATTGGTCCAACATTTAATCTCGACGTCGGTCCAATAACCATTTATCAGCTCATTTGTTGCGTTCAAATTTTCTGTGTCTACAGTTACATACATGTAAAAATGCGAAATAAATTTAAATGGAAGAGACATGTCATCTTAAAGACTACTCCAAGCCTTGATTTCACTCTACGTCTCTACTCCAAGCCTCAAGAAATCCTCTTGAATTGCTTCCTCCATGATACCAAAATAATTGCAGCTAATCCCATTCCAAACTCTGTGGTTACGCTCGTTCCAGATTTTCTAGCAAGTAGTGAGCAATAGACAAAAGGCATAGAGATCCAACGATTTCATATTGATTCCAATCCAATTAGTCAGTTGAATATCTTCATCATGACAATAGCAATTCTTTGCTAGCTCTGTCTTTTTCAATCCAGTCAGCCATAGTTTCATTTCAGTCTTAAAAAAAAAAAAAAAAAACAAACAAATAAACAAAAGCAACTATTTGTCTTTCTTCCCTTCAAAAAGATTTTTGACATATCGTTCACTCAAAAAAAAACAAAAGAAGAAGAAGAAGAAGAAGAAGAAGAAGAAGAAGAAGAATTCATCATTTGTCCAGGCAAATAGGACACAAAGCAAACACACATTGTTATAGCTCAAAAATCTCTTATACTCAAAAGTATGAATAACAATAAGAAGCATCAAACCACAATGTTCGAGTTCACATTTCAACGTGAGTAAAATTTCAAGTAAAAAATTGTTAATCTTCAATTAACTTTCAAAATGTTGTGTCAATAACAACATTTAACATAAATATATACTCGCATTTGACATAAATGTAATTTAGTTTGCTTTAGCATTACAAATAACTATGGTTTTAAAATTTTGTTGTGATTTTTCTTTAAAATTATTGTGATTGTAATAAACATTTAGCTTAGTCCTTATGTAGCTTTAGGTTTGATTATGAGCATTTAGAACAAAGGTTATAGAGTTAATACCACAAATAGTTCTTTGAGTATTGGGCTAGTACTCATTTTAGTCATTAACACTACTACAGAAATGATATACTACGTCACTTAATAAAATGTGGTTTTTAAAATAACCGCATTCTATTATATACTACGTCACTTAATAGACGACGACTTTTAAATAACCGCCTTTTATTATATACTACGTCACTTAATAGAAGACAGTTTTTAAATAACCATCTTCTAGCTATTATATACTATGTCACTTAATAGACGACGGTCTTTAAATAATCACCTTCTATTATATACTACATCACTTAATAGACAGCGGCTTTTAAATAACCACCTTCTAGGAATTGGTTTTTATATAATGGGAAAGGGGAAGGGGGGGGGGGGTAGCTAGATTTTTTTTTCTACAAATATAGTTTTTGGGGTGGGTCCACTTTTTGAGGGAAATAGGAAAATTTGCGCATGTTGTTGCGCGTGTGAATCAATCTGCACGCCTAGAAGGTGCATGCAATGCATGTGTCTTTGAGCGCGTAATGCCTTTAGTGTTTTTTCTTCCTGTTAGAATTTATTGTTCCATTTTCCACCCTTTTTCCTCTTCTCACTTGTTTCTCTCTCGTACATGGCCTGTAAAAAATCACAAAAATCTACAATTATTGAGGTTATTTTAACTTGTTATTTACACGTAATAATGTGTCAAAATGGTTCAATTGCATTTTACTTTTGAATTGGATTTAAAAATAAAAAATAAAAATTGTAGCTTGATGGTCTAATTGCATTTCGCAAATAGTTCAAGGATTAGTTGACCCTTACGTCTAATAATAATATTATATTATATTATATTTAATAATAATAATTATATTATCTGTTTTGGGGATATACTTTTGTTTTAAATCCAAATCTAACTCACGGTATATCACAAACCAATCCCTCAAGGATTGTTATACCTAGTACATGGTTTCAAAATAAACATTTCCCTATCTGCGTTATTATTTATAGTGCGAAGTCTATTTCAACATATAACCACCACAATGTACCTCTAAAAAGGCTACCAAAGAAGCCTCTGTCTCTTGATTAATTAATATCAAGAGCACATGATAGGAGACCAATACATATCCTTAGGTACGTTGACGGCATACTTAATTAATGAAGATCGTTTCTCGGCATTAGGGGGAGATAAGAGTTCAAATTTAATAGAATGCCAAGAAATTTCATAGAATGAAAATATCTTCATTAGTTAAATCCATGAACTAGTTAGACTGAACTAGAAGTTCAGAAGATGATATATTTGCGATATTATCAAATAATCTGTCAAATACATATATTGATCATACTGATCATAAAAGAGTGAATAGGTCCCATATATCTTCCCCAATTCGGACCAAATATATCTACCGATACTCCTTGACGCCAGAAGTGTCGGAGATCTATCGGTGTAAGAGATAAGAATCATTATACTAGATCTAGTAAATAAACATTGTCACTCTTGAAATAGCATTGAATAATTTAGTCCTGAAGACGGTCGTCCAGATGACGAGAAACCCTAGTCAATTTATAGGTGCACCAAACAAATACAATACTAGGGATGCGGAATTACCAGATCAAAATATTTTTGGGAAATGTTTAAAATCTGGTTATTTTAGAAATACCATTAACAATTATAAATATGGGACAGATTGAAGAGATTTATGAAAGTAAAATAGTTGTCGACAACACAATTGCCTTTAAAAATTGCTCCGTTATATGATAATCTGGATCCAGAGTTAGGCACCGGAAGTGCCATGACTATTTAACGTATAAAGAAGTAATTAAGGCATAACTCGACTCGCTAAAATATATATATTCTCTTTATAACAATACACCGTTGAGTGTTAACCCTGAAAGTTACAAATGGGTGTGTGCATGAAAGAGAAATAAGAATAACGAGGTGATAAGATATGAAGCGAGTTTGTAGCTTATGGATTCACGCAGAGACCCTTAATTGATTTTAATCAAATATACTCTCCCACGGTAAATGACATTAAGTTCTGCTACATAATACAATTGGCAGAATAATAAATTTAGATATGTAGTTAAATTTATTTTGAGAAATCCCTGAAGGATTTATATTTCCCGAAATGAGGATTTATTTAAAGTATCATTATGTGTCATTATTTACTCTTTAAAGAGTTGCGAATGGGGTTATTATCCTCATGTAGAAGGAATAATATGTACCATTATGTGCTCAATAAAGAATTGATAATGGACTTATTTATTATCTCAGTCAATATTGATGGTATAAACATCAATGAAATATCTAAAGAGCTTGATGATATCAGTTTATGTCTAAAGACGGAGATTTTGAAGCAAAAGCTTGGGAAAGCTAAGTATTATCTCGACCTGAAGATCGAGTTTTTCCTTAAAATTTTTTTATACACCAGTAAGTCAATATATAATGAGCTACTTGGGTATATGCTATTATCTTTGTATCCCCATAATGCCAAGTTTCAAAACTGGTTGTACTATATTTACCCCCATTGTCCTATAAAGGGATAATAAAGATTGTATTGCAAAAAATGATAAAAAGGATAAATAATAAAATCCTTTTGACTAGACAATGATGTCAATATTATACCCATGTGAGCTCCAGAAGAGTCATGACATTATTATAGAGTATATTTATTCTATTGACAGTTGTACATATTTATTTACTAAATTTCTCTATACATTTTGAAAATTTAATGTATGAACTTAAAGATTGTTATCTTGAGGGGGGGGGGGGGGGGGTATCATTTTACATGAATCAATCCTGAAGATTGGGTCTTGACGACTAATGATTGTACTCTTTTCCTTAGCTAAGCTTTTTCCCACTGGGTTTCATTAGCTTAAGGTTTTTAATGAGGCAGCTAATCTAAAACAAGAATACACATACATCATGCACTCTTTTCCTCAATTAGGTTTTTCCCACGTGGTTTTCCTAATGAGGTTTTTAACTAGGCATGAGTATGATATATGAATGTAAATGGGGAAAAGTTGCAAAATAATTGCTTAAGTAGACAAACTCCAAAATCCTGAAGATTATGCCGATTGTGCCCTGAAGGCTTATGGTTATACTCTTTTTCCCTTAGCTAAGTTTTTCCCACAGGGTTTTCTTAAGTTAAGGTTTTTAATGAGGCGACCAATACAATATATGTTTTTACATATATCATGTACTCTTTTCTTCAACTAGGTTTTTTCCCACGTGGTTTTCCTAGTGGAGTTTTTAATGAGGCATGAATATATTTTCTATTGTACTTTTTTCTTGTCTAGGTTTTTCCCACAGGGTTTTCCTAGCAAGTTTTTATCGAAGCAAGATTGTGGACAAAATGACAAATAATGTCCAAGGGGGAGTGTTATAAACATATTTAGTGGACATCATTTGTAACAGACGTAACGGATGCTTTGATTGCTCATTATGTATATTTATATCCTTTGTATTATATATAGATGAACACACCTTGTATCATGGTGTCGTGATGAATAAGATGATCTGCTTTCCCTCTCCATTCTTTATTCCTTCTTCTCCTTATTGTGTTTATATTATACAACAATTATATTATATTATATTTAATAATAATAACACACTACTACAGAAATGATATACTACGTCGCTTAATAGAAGGCAGTTTTTTAAATAACCGCCTTCTATTATATTTTGTTATACTACGACACATAATAGACGTCGGTTTTCTAAATAACCACCTTCTATTATATACTACGGCACATAATAGAAGGCGGTCTTTAAATAACCGCCTTCTATTATATACTACGACACTTAATAGACGGTGGTCTTTAAATAACCGCCGTCTATTATATACGGCGTCACTTAATAGACGGCGGTTGTTAAATAATCGCCTTCTAATATATATTTACGTCACTTAATAGACGGCGGTTTTAAATAACCGTCTTCTAATATATATTTACGCCACTTAATAGACGGCGGTTTTAAATAACCGCCGTCTAATATATATTTACGTCAATTAATAGACGACGGTTCTCAAATAACCGCCGTCTAATATATATTTACGTCACTTAATAGACGGCGGTTGTAAATAACCGCCTTCTAATATATATTTACGTCACTTAATAGACGGCGGTTCCTCAAGACAACCGACGTCTATACATATGTATAGACGGCGGTTTCTCAAAACAACCGCCGTCTATACATATGTATAGACGGCGGTTCTTATATTAAACCGCTGTCTATACATATGAATAGACGGCGGTTCCTCAAGAAAAGTGCCGTCTATACATATAATTGTTGAGATTACACGACATACATCGTGAGATTAGACGGCGGTTAGCAACCGCCGTGTTTTAGAAGTATACACGACGGTTCAAATAACCGCCGTAGAAAGTTTTTATTTACAAAGGGCGGTCACTTACACGGCACTTCAAGAACCGCCGTGTATTTATAAAAATAACCGCCGTGGTAAGTGTGTTTTGTAGTAGTGACAACAACAACAATAACAATAATTTGTTTGCTTGTTTGTATTTTTCATTCTTTTGCATGATAGTTTGTGGCTTGTTAATTTGAATTCCATAGGTAGATTAATTAACGTAGACCTAATTCGATTCCAACCTTCTAATTTGACGTTAATCACAAATGTGAAACTATAATTAAATTACAATTTTATTTAATAATATACATTCAATATATGAGACTTGTTAATTGGCATCATTTTATGCACAATATAATTTTATTACGGCATCACTAAAGTATCATTCGTATGCATTTACAATTTTATTTGACGACCTACACTTATTCAATTTCAGTTATACACAATGTAATTTCATCATAACACCACTAAGATATCATTCAGATTTATTTTATTTTATACGCACTCTAATTTTATTATAACATCATTAAAAAAATTGAGCACATCGTAGAACATAACAAATATAAGAGTTACCTCGGTTTTGGCCATGGTCTATGTGGACCATGGTCCATTGTAAACCAATTGTTATTGCATGGATCATGGCCAGTCACACAGCTGTGTGGACCACTGTCCAAAATGACGTAATCTCTTGACAAGTATTTTCTTCTCCATTGTTTATTCTTTTACTCCACTGCTGCAACATACATTTTTATAATTCATATAAAGTACATCATTTTAACCCATAAAATATCTTTCTATCTATATATTAAAGCCATATAACCATGGTCAATAAAATTGCTGGATTTTTCCGCCCAAGTAAAATTACGCTGTTTTGATCCTTTAGCTTGAACATTTAGATTAATTTTTTTTTCCTGATTTACGGGTTCTTTTTTAAATTTCACTTTCCAAGACATAATTAAATGAGGTTGAAAGTACCGAGCAATAAAGATTGCACTCACGCGTTATTCGAAAACTCTTGGAGAATGAGTTCAGTGTAATTAGCATTATCTATTACAAATTCAAACTGATCTAAATAAAATTTAAAATAAAGGATTTTAAATTGAAACAACATAATAATTATTCTCATTGCTCCAATGAAAGACATAAAAAAATATTTAGATAAGTCATTAGGATTAAACAACATCTGTCATATTTCTAAGTATACAGTGCATCCGTGAAGTTAGGATTAAATGGGAGACTTCTTAAACACCAAATTTCTAAGTTAAATTCTCTAAAATAAAGTGTTGAACTCAACATAATCTGAAAATATATTATTCAATTACACTACACATAAAATGCAATGATCTAATTAAAAGATCATTTGGGAGTTAAAAAATTTCTCTCTCTAGAGCTTTGGTCTTTTTACTAGGGTTTCTGGCGTTTTTTTGATTATCATCACGGTGGTTTCTCACCGGCTCACTGCGACAGCAAGCGGACGGCAAACAAGTGTTGGTACCATACTATGGCGACGATGAATACAGACGAAGGCATGGTGGGAACAACGTCCCAGGAGCGCACTGATGAGGTTGTGGCTGGACTAATGCAACGATGGGCGGACACGGTGTTGGAGGAGGATGAGGAGGAGGAGGCCAGTTTTGAACCGGTTGGGGATGACGTTGGAGTGGTAGCGGCGGAAGACGAGAGGCCGTGGGTTTGCGTCGGTTGTTTCTTGACGTCCAAGGTAGTCAAGCTCGAGTACATGAGGCAAGTGATGACTTTGGTATGGCAGCTGATGTAGGGAATGCAGACTACGGAGATCCAACCGGGCTTTTTTATGTTTATCTTCTACGATGAAACTGGTATGCGGAGGGTGCTCGATGAAGGCCCGTGGTCGTTTGATAATAACACCTTGGTGTGTCGGCAGGTTGGGGCGGGTGTTCGGTCGGCGGAGGTAGAGCTTAGCTCAGTGGATATGTGGGTACAGCTTTATGATTTACCATTGGGCTATACTTCGGATGTTGTTCTTGAGCAGGCCACAGTAAACTTTATTGGTTCGTTTGTTAAGGTAGATGATCGTTTTGTTAGGGCACCATGGAAAACATTTCACCGAGTCCGAGTCTCAATCCCGATCGACAAACCCTTAAAACGAAGAATGAAGCTCTTTAAACGGGATAAGACAAGCTGCTAGGTGACTTTTAAATATGAGCGGCTTCATAGCTTCTACTTCTATTGTGGTTTATTGGGTCACTCCTATAAGTTTTGTAAGCTAGCAAGAAAGTCGGGGCTTACGGCTGATCAGTTCCCATTCACGACTGACTTAAGGGCTGGGGGTGGTAGTCGGGGACCGCGGCAGGTTGGGGAGCCGTGGTTGATTCCGCTCAAGGGGAAGGGGAAGAGTGCGGCGGGGTTGGTAGTGAGGGAGAGGGTGACGGCTTTTGGGCAAGCCGAAATGGTAGTACGGTTGGGGGGAAGGGATGGGCGGTGAGGGGGCGGTGGTGGCGGTGGCTAAGAGGAGGAGGGAGGCGCCGGATGTGGAGGGTGGACATTCGGGATTGGATAGGGGTGATGTGATAATGATAGAGTTTCCAAAAAACTGGTTTACGGCGGGTCCTAGAGCTCAGGCCCGCCCTTCATCATGAGTACGATAAGTTGGAACTGTCGTGGCTTGGGCAATCCACGGACAGTTCGAGAATTAGTGGACATGGCGTCCCGTAAGAAGCCCGATTTCGTCTACTTAATGGAAACTAAAGTAGGGCGAATACATGCAGAGCGACTACGTGTTAATATTGGATTTGAAGGTTTGTTCTATGTGGATAATGTAGGTGTGGGGGGTGGCTTGACACTATTATGGAGGAGGAATAATACTGCTAGGCTATTGAGTTTTCAAAGAACCATATAGATGTGGAGGTTGCTATAAGGGAGAGGGTATGACGTTTGACATGTTTTTATGTATGCCCACAGAGGAGTAAGCGGAGGGAGGCATGGCATTTGCTAAGTGGATTGAGAGATAAGTCTACACTACCATGGGTCGTGGTGGGGAACTTTAATGATCTTCTGTACCAACATGAAAATAGAGGGGGAAACCCACATCCTGATAGTTTTCTGAGAGGTTTTGGTGAGACGTTGGATAACTGTGGCTTACTCCAATTACCAATGAGACGACATCAGTTTACATGGGAGAGGGGAGAGGGTACAGATGGTTGGATAGAGGAAATATTGGATAAGGTGCTGGTAACGGCGCGTTGGACTAATATGCACGGTGGAGCTTGGGTTGAAAATATCCGGACTCGTAACTCGGATCACTCGGCTCTCTTTCTAGACACTAATATAACAACGGTGCACATGCAAGGGGGACCGAGGGGTTTTCGTTTCCAGATGGCCTAGGTCCATGACGAGGGTTGCAGGGGTGTGGTGGAGACTGCCTGGCAGGATGGTAGGGATAAGGGGTTGCTGAATTGTCCAGCATTGTGGTGGTAGGCTCATGCGGTGGGGCGGGGAGCACTTTCATAAATTTGGTGACCGCATGAAGCAATTGAGAAGGGAGCAGGAGGCACTACGCGACCGACGAGATTCAGGTGCATTGGCTGAGTTTCGGCGGCTCGAGGAGAGGCTTGGCCAGTTGGAGGTTCAGGAGGATGTGTTTTGAAGGCAGCGAGCTAAGCAGCACTGGCTTCGTGGTGCGGATGCCAACACGAAATTTTATCACAGGTATGCTTCTACCCGTAAGAGAAAGAATTTTATTTCTAAAATTAAGAATGATGTTGGTGTGTGGGTGGATGGTGAGAATATGAAGAGGGTTGTTTTGGATTACTATGCAGCTATTTTTACCTCTTCTAATTCGGTGTGTGAGGATCCCTTGTTTGATGATTTTGCCCCCCCCCCCCCCCCCCGTGTGACTCATGATCAAAATATTGCTTTGTTACGACCCTTTGAATATGGGGAGGTCAAGAGTGAACTATTTGCAATGTTTCCTGATAAAGCACCAGGACCGGATGGTATGAACCGTGGGTTCTGCCAACACTTTTGGGATGTAGTAGGGGGGATGTGTCTGTGTTTATTATGGATTGATTGAATTCTGGTACATTCCCTGAAGGGTTAAATGATACAAATGTGATTTTAATCCCTAAGAAGAATGTGCCTGAGACAGTCCCTGATATGAGGCCAATTGCCCTAAGTATTGCCCTAAGTAACGTTTTATATAGAATTATGGCTAAAGTAATAGCCAATAGAATGAAACCACTTATGAAGGATCTAATCTCGGAATCCTAGAGTGCTTTTATTCCTGATAGGCTTATTACTGACAATATTCTCATAGCCGCGGAGGTGGGCCATTACTTAAATAGGAAGCAGTGTGGTCTAACAGGTTGGGGGGCCTTGAAATTGGATATGGCAAAGGCATATGATAGAATGGAATGGCAATTCCTGCGAAGAATGCTTGAGGTTATGGGGTTTGATGATCGTTGGATTAATATGATAATGCTATGTGTGACTACAGTCCAGTATAATATTCTGGTTAATGGTGTTAATAATGGCAGATTGATTCCAACCCGGGGTCTCATACAAGGAGATCCACTTTGTCCATATTTATTCATTAATTGTGCAGAGGGTTTGTCTATGTTATTGCAGAGGGCTCAGATGGCTGGATCTATACATGGTTGTAGGGTGGCTAGAGGAGCCCCCTATATCACACCTATTTTTTGCAGATGATAGCCTGTTATTCTTTAAGGCAAATATTCAGGAGTCCAGTCCAGTGTGATAAAGCAATGCTTGGGGCCCTATGAAGAATTGTCAGGGCAGAAGGTGAATTATCATAAATCTAATATCTGTTTTAGTAGGAACACCAGGGAGGAGGAAACGGAGGTGGTGGCGACATGTTTGCAGGTTGACCAGTGTGATAAAGCAATGCTTGGGGCGCTATGAAGAATTGTTAGGGCAGAAGGTGAATTATCATAAATCTAATATCTGTTTTAGTAGGAACACCAGGGAGGAGGAAATAGAGGTGGTGGCGACATATTTGCAGGTTGACCAGGCACCCAACTTTGGGAAATACCTGGGGCTACCCTCTTTTGTGGGAAGAAATAGGAGAGCGGTTTTTTCTTATGTTGAGGATCAAATCAAGCAGAGGATTGGTTCGTGGAACAAGAAATTGCTCTCACATGCTGGTAAGGAAATTCTGTTGAAAAGTGTGGCACAATTAATGCCTACATTTTCAATGAGTGTTTTCTTACTCCCTGACACAGTTTGTTTATCAATCCAAAGGACCATGAACAGATATTGGTGGGGTACTTGCATGGAAAGGGGAATTCGCTGGAAAACCCGGATAAATTATGTATCCCTAAGAAGTTTGGTGGTTTAGGCTTTAAGGATCTCAAGGAGATTCAATTTGGCTATGTTAGGAAAACAAGCATGGCGATTCCTCACAAACCCCAGCTCCCTTGTTGCAAATATTTATAAGGCACGATATTTCCCTAATACCTCGTTTATTGATGCAAGGTAGGAAATTGCCTGAATTATTCTTGGAGAAGTATTATGGCAGCACATGATATGGATGGTGAAACAACATTGATCTGGGGATGGTTACCAGATGATCCCAGCCCCCTCATTCAAACAGACATGCCTGAGGAATTGAGAGGCGCCAGGGTCGCAGGATTAATTGATGAACAGACTAATACTTGGGATCCCCATATTTTAGCTGATTTATTTAATGATGAGGATGTGAGTCGTATAGTTAAAATTCCTATAAGCCCAGGATATGAGGACTCATGGTATTGACTTGGCGACCCCAAAGGGATTTATACGGTAAAGAATGCCTACAGAAATATTATGGGGATTTATGAACATACACCGAGGGATTTTGATAAATGGACTACTACGTGGGAGATGAAGGTACCTCCAACATGGAAGACATTCCTATGGAGGGCAATTTATGATATTCTCCCTACAACTACTAATTTGATTATAAAGAGGGTGTAGGTGGATCCTACATGCCAAATGTGTGGTTTGGCTCATGAAGATCTTATGCATGCATTAGTTACTTGTGAATATTCTAGCCTTGTTTGGAATTTTCAGAGCTACCTATCACAAATATTATTACCAACTCATTCCCCGCATGGCTAACGGGTGCACTTACAATATTGACAGAGGAGCAGAGTGGACTCATGGTAGCAGTGTTGTACCAGTTATGGAGGAGCCGCAACTCGGCAGTATGGGATGTAGCCCTCCCACATCCCGCTGGCGCATGGGGGAGAGCGACGGCTGCCTTGAGCTCATTCCGATAGGCCAACCAACGACCCTCTCAGCCTGTGCTGGTTGCAGCACCGATGAATGGCGATCACGGCAGGCCGAGGTGCTATATAGATGTGGGCTTTCGGCAGGCCACTGGGGAAGCCACCTTCGGCATAGTGCTGCTCTCGCTGGATGGTTCTTTTTTGGCGGCATGAAACGGAAAGCTACCGGTTTGTTTCTCGCCACTTATGGCGGAGACCCTAGCTTGTAAGGAGGACATATCCTGACTACTGGAGAAAAATGTAACAACGTTGGATCTCCTCACGAATTGCACGGAGCTTCGGAATGCTATACGCCAGGAATCAACGACTATATTGTCCTATGTTGGGGTCGTAGTGGACCAATGTAGGACTTCTATGGTTTTATTTAATTGTTGCTTGTTAAGTTATGTTACTAGGCATGTTAATTCACATGTACATACTCTAGCTTCTTTAGCTTTTTCACAGGACCAATTTATGTATTGGGATTCTATCCCTCCAGGCTCGATTGCAGCTTTGATTCATTAATACAATCATTTTTTAGTTGGTTTTCAAAAAAAAAAAAATGCAATGATCTTAAAATTTACTTATATGCAGAATAACTCTCTAACTCTTAGAATTACACTAACCAAAAATACATGTCTGAATGTATCAAACATGACAGAATTTCAACTATACCAATATTAAACTTAGAGAGTTTTTTTTTTTTTTTTTTTTTTTTTTGAAAAAAAAAATAAAAAATAAAGGAACAAAAAATCTTTAAGTTTGCTACTAAGATTTAGATTTAAAAAAAAAAAAACATTTTAAAAATGTCTTCAAAGCAATATAATGGAGCTTTACAAGTAGTTAAAAACTAAATAAGTTCATATCATAAGAAAATAAAAGCAAAGAAATAAATATTTAATTGACAAAAACTAATTGTTACAATGAATCTTACCATCATATTCTCAACGAGAAATAATTAAAATACAAAAAAAAAATATATTTAAGTTTGCTGCTAAGATTTAGATAAAAATAATTTAAAAAATGTTTTTAAAGCGATATAACAAAGCCTAAAAGTAGTTAAAAAATAAATAAGTTCATATCATAACAAAATAAAGGCAAAGAAATAAATATTTAATTGACAAAAACTAATTGTTACAATGAATTTTTGCATCATATTGTCAACCAGAAATAATCAAAATACAATAAAATTTACAAAACACATATATACACCTTATTTCTAAATATAAATCATGAACCAAATGAGGCTATGTATACATTTGCAAAGTGAAAGTTGATTACATTTGGTGTACATTACTTTCAATCAGGATTGCTAGCTACAAACTTCCATTTTATCACACTTCCCATCTTTTCCTACATGCTAAACCAGATTCAGGTGCAATTTGTAAGCAACTTACAAAGAGAAACTTATTGTTTTTCACAAAAACTGACCGAAAATGATGAACTGTGAAGAACTATTAAAGAAAAGGACTTATGCCACTATCTGTAAACACACATTAAATACAAGTATCAAAGGATTCAAAGCCACTATCTTTACACAAATTTGTCCAATACAGAAAAATCAAAACCCAAAACCCTGTATTAAGTCATAAAAATGTGTACAGTGAATGAAAGTTAGCTTCATGGATCCAAAATACCCAGCTGAGAGAGAAGCTAAATCCTAGACATAAACCAAACCTAGCTCCACATGCAAAAAAAATATGACAACATCCACAAAATGGAAAGTCTTAAAGAAAACCCAAGTAAAATTTACACAAAATTTTGCATTTTGAGGCATGTTTCAGCTCAACCCAAACATAGTGGTGCACATTTTGTACACCGTTGAATGATTTTATACACCGCAGGATGATTTTCGTATCCTAGGATCTGCAAATTAAGTAGATCATTTCTTTATACGCCGCAGAATGATTTTTTTGAACCTTAAAGTTGTGTGCATGTTGAAATACAGAACTGCAAACTGCTTAATTTTATCTTAAATTCATCTTTGATGCCTAGGGTTATTTCGATCTGCAGTAGAAAGTCTTAGGGTTTGGATGTAAGCATTTAAATTGGCATTTTGTGTTCGAAGAACACAATGAAACCATCTAGAATGAAGATATTTTACATGGAACGAAGTTTAAGCTATGGATGTCGCCGGCCACGTATAGCTACATTGTCCGGTCTTTTTTTGTTCTGATTTAGGTCTTTGCGATACTGACTTCACCTCCATAATGTATTTGAGGGATTTCCTTTAATTTGAAGCTGTGTCGGCTTAGCTGGTCAGAGTGTGCTGTTTAAAATGGGAGGCAGAGAGAGTTCTGAAAAGCG